TTGGTCAATATCTTACGGTGTAAGGTTTAACCTTTAAACCCCTATATCGGTCTCACAGACCGCTATTGAAACGTTACTTGTCAACCATTTTCTTATTTGTCACCATTTAAATATATTTTATTTCTATTGTATACAAGATTTTTTTGTTAACCCTCACATTAAAACATCGTTTTCTTTTATCCCCATCACAAATATTCAGAAATCATACATTTTTATTACACATAACTCATAAAACATAATAATTGTGATAATTTTCGCCCATCAATTCAAAAGAGTTATAGGAACTAAAATACTTTGGAAGTGACTTATATAGTTAACTGAACTCTCAATCTCAATGTTGTGACGTGCAACTATATCATGTATATCTATCAATCATACTATTTGTACAGACCACATTAGAGAGATAACAATAACGCTTCGGTTGAGGCGATCCTATATATGAAGATATTCTAACCGAATGTTATTTATCCTAAGCACTACGGTTTTGAGAAACGTACTGATGAGTATACCTTAACAGATGTATGCCATGTAACATTGATATAACTTAAATTCACATGCATTTTTTAATTTTCCAAACATAGAGAATATTGTTGTAACATCCATAGCAATTTTTTTCCGTGTTATATTGCTCCCGTCATAAATTTATTATAATTCCTCAGCAGTCATGAGCCCCGACTCTTGCGTCTATTTCGTCCTTTCTAATTGAAGATGTCGAAAGAACACGACTTCCTTCTGATTCTATATAACCCGGTAATCGCAATGTGCCATCACGTGAATCAAGATTTCGTGAATTACGCGGTACGCACGGCTCGTGAAATCATCAACTTCGATCCAAGGATAAAGTCGTCGAGGACGAGCTCGTCATCGAGGTCGCGAGTCATCCCGCTCGATCCTTGATTCGCTACATCACATTTTTTTTCCTTTCAGCGAGCCGAGCCGAGATCTTTTCATTCCTCTTTAAATTAGTTTTTGAATTGCGCGGGTGAATTATTATTAAGTGTTGCACACATAAATGGAGTTGAGAAGTCTGAATTTTTTGTAAATCTTTATAAAGCAAGGTTGACATGTAAAGTTACGTAATTTTTTTTAGTTGGGCAAAATTTTTTTAGAAACATTTTTCAGTACCCATGCAGTTATAATTAATTTCGTGGAGGAAAAAGTAACAGAGAAATTCGAAGAACATTATTTCACTCCTTCGGCACAGAACATTAATAATGTTGCAGAAAAAAATATTGCAGAATATTACAGTTATTTACATTAATATAAAAAAACATCGGTAAATCCAATTTTCTTCTCTATTACAATTTCTTCTGCCACTCATGAAACTTTAAAGAATATATTTCACATATATATTTTAGCTTATAGGAAAAATGCATTTGATTTCCATCAAAAACATCTGAGAAGCGCTGACGTCGCGCATTTCATGCACAAATCAATAAAAAAAGTTCCTATGCTTTTCCTCATCGCTAGTTTTGCTGCGAGTAACATCTGCATTTCGCGCAATGCCCGTAAGTCCTTTATGCCAGTCAGCAACCGGGATCGCCATTATGCGAATCGGCGAACGCCGCGAGTCAATTCGCGCGCGAATTTGGACGCTCTTACAAATTTTATTGCGACTATAGCAGGCAATTTATTAACACGTGGCCGAGCAACAGCGAGACGCGTGTAAACTTTTAATGATCGTCCTACGGCGACTTTATTCACCGTCCTTTCTCTCGTCCCCTTCGTGCTAAGCTCGTCACCGGGGCGATACGAATTTAATTGCGTCTAATGAAAATTTAATGCCACTCGGAAATTCCTGCCGCGCATCTCTCTCTCTCTCTCCATGCCATAACGGGCTCGGGATTCGTCCGTGACGGCGCACAAGGAAACTCGTGCAGCAATTTGTGAAAAACGTGAGGCACGCGCTCTTGGACTGGATGTGTACAATTTTATCATTCCCAATTGTAATTAAAAGCGGTAAAAAGTGAATTCAAGATACAAAAGTCTGTCTTCACTCTAAAACGATATACGGAGCATAATTGAACGGCTTATTCAAACAGTTTATCATCACTCGGATACTTTCGTGAACGATTTTATATCGCGTAAGTGTGAGTAACGTTCGATAAAACGAGCTCTTTCGAAATATTTCGATAAGAGGAGCGTAATCGAGGTATAAAAGGTGAGTAAACTGGAAACATAATGCCGAATAACTTATGGTAATAACGAATACCGAGAATGTAACGAGACATTCGACTTGAACGGAGTTATAACGACATAGTAAATCGCGCATAAAACGACTTCCATCTCGCAGAAGTGTCGTTAATCTCGTCGCAATATTAGCCGCGTGTAACGTGCATCGCCACGACCAAGCGGAGGTGCATCCTCACGATGGTTCAACGTACTCGAGGCGAGATTAATTGAAAGTAGAGACAAACTGCACCTCGGTCGCTTCGCAACGATATTGTTACGAGGAAAGCCGAGGTGGAAACAAAAGGCGACGCTTGCCTTTCGTGAAGGAAGTCGTTTGCGGCCGGACGAATCGGACCTTGGAGAGAACTCGCCTTACGAGAGCAGACGAGGCCTTAAAGGAGACCTAAAGAGTGTAACACGCAACGTTGAGAGGAAAGAGGAGGAGAGAGAAAAGAAGAGAAAGAGAAAGAGAGAGAGAGAGAGAGAGAGAGAGAGAGAGAGATAAGTCGTCGCGCGTCTCTATGTAGTACCGTTCGACCATCGACCAGTCAACCAGCTATCGCTTCATGGAATTTATCTTAACGATCATCAGCCTCTTATATCCTAGTTTCGATCATCCGCAAAATCTCGATCGCCTGCAAACACGCTTGCCCTGTTTCGTTTCTACGAGGAAAAAAAATACGATTTCGAAGTTATACACAGTGTTCGGACGTTCCAATTAATTCTAAACTAACGATTCCTGCGAGAGGAGATAATCGGAGTGTCGCGTGCAATACGATTATAAAAGCGCCAATGTCGAAACTGTGGCTGTTACTTTTTACTTACTTCGAATATTTGAAGCTTCGAATTTAGTTTCGACCTTCCGAAGTTTAAGAAGGTGCCTTCGAAGCTTCGAAGTTTCGAAAAATACATTCGTGCAAATTTAATTAAGTAATTAAACATCTTTATTAATTTTACGATTTTAAATTTTCTATAAAATATAATTCAAAGTCAAGGCTCCTTAACGCGATATAGTGATAACATATTTTGACAGATTACATAAGAATTATTGGAGTTTGCGAATCATACTTTTTATCGAATATGAAAACCACGGATTTTAATTTACACGATCAACATATTTATAATTTGGACTGCGATTATGTATATGCGGATTGTGAGCGTACCACGTTATTGTAATGATTTTTAATTTTATATAATGCACTAACTGATTTCTATTAACATTGAAAATGAC